ATATCAGATCATGCTCCTATTTAAAGTTTACAACCTGGGCTAGCCTAAAAGCATAATGGTTAATTTGTGCATTGGGAGCCAGATCCCACATGGCTGAATATGGTTTGAATCTCAGCTCTAGAGGCTTGAAAGACACACTGGCTGCAGGGACATAACATATCCAAAATCCCGACAAGATGAGGAAGTGGAGGCGAAGGGTCTGTGGTGTAACTGTGCCCTACTTGGCCCGGGGCGGGGAGGTTCCTCTCTCTCTGGCAAGAATCTGTAACTCAATGACTTTTTGCATATCCACAGAATAATGTATCCATCACTGCAATCAATTTTAGAATATTTTAGTTACTTCCAAAGAAACCTTACACACCCTAACTATCACGTCTTAGTGTCTCGGATCTCTGCTCCTCAGCTCTAAGCAACTACTAATGTACTTTTTGCCCCAATAAACATGTCTGTTCTTGACACTTCATACAAGTTGAATCATACAATAGGTGATTTTTTTTACATATGTTCTCAATGTTCACAATGTTCTCAATGTTCATCCATTTTGTAACAATCAGTTCTCCTATGGATGAAAATATTTCCATTGTATAGATAGGCCAGTTTTATCAGTTGATGGACATTTGGGTTGTCTCACTCTGCTGCCTATTATGGATAATGCCTCTGTGAACATTTGTATACAAGTTTGTGTGGATATACGTTTTTTATTTTTCTCAGGAGCATTGCTAGGAACTTAACGATCAGATCATATAGTAACTGCATGTTTAACTATTTGAAGAACTATCAAATTGTTTTCTACACTGGTTGTTGAATTCACATTCTCAACAGCAGTATAATGAGGGTTCTAGTTTCTCTGTATCCTCACCAATGCTTGTTTTTTGATTTGTTTTTGTTTGTTTTATTTTTAAGGTTTTTGTCATGGGGCATGTGTGCTTACCAGGGATAGGGAGAAAGTAAGAAATCCTCCCCCTGGGGGATGACCATGCCTCAGTCCCTTCTCCATTCTCCTCCCGGGATGTTGGGCATGCATGCACATGTGATCACTGTGATTTTCAAGCTGCCGGGTCTGGTACTCAGCTAGTGGTCAGCCATACGGGAGTCCAGCACCTTAAGCACTACACCAGCAGTGGCCGTATTTTCGACTGTAGCCGTGTAATGGGTGTGAAGTGGTATCTCACTGTGGTTTTCATTTGCATCTCTCTTATGACTAGAGAAGTTGAGCATCTCTTCCTGCCCCACCCATTTTTTAACTAGAAGAACTGACACCATTTTTTTTTTTTTTCAGAGATCTTTGCCTTTGGAAAGCTAGAAGCCAAGTTTTATTGTATTGAGGATAAGAGAAAGAAAATGAATGTTACTCTTTTAGCAAGTAGAATGAGGGGATGTATATTGGGGTGGTTAATATTGCAGACAGACTTGGTCTCTCTGGACGTGGTGATGAAGTCGTGGCCCCGGACTGTCATCACTCTGGTTGTCAGCGAGGTCTTCAGAGGTACACTCCATAGTCCCTCTTATGCCCGTTGGATAGAGGGCCCAGCTGTTAGAAGGTCTGGAGCCCACAGACTCAGCCTGAGCGACACTTTTTAATCACTCTTGGTCTGGGTTCTCTCCAGTAATTGCATGGCCATTATTAATGATGGTCATTAAGTCCTTTTAGGACACCAAGACCCTGTGTGAGGATGACTACTCTGTATCTTCCTTCCTACTCTCCTATTGTTGTGGGAGATAGGTCATCTCCCAAGTAAACATTCTGAAAAGTCTTAAAATCTGTCATCTTAATAGGAAGCGTGATGCTGAATTCTAATGTGGTTTTCTCTGTGTGCTGTGAGTATTCTGATGTAGTTTCTGCTACTTCAACCTTCAGATCTCACTGGAGAAAAAAACATTCCTGGCAGTTCTATACTCAGTTAAAATCTGGGCCCTCAATAATCAGAGTTGTAGTCAAAACTCCTTGAGAGAGAGTGAGCAAGAGTGCAAGCATGAGACACCCCCAAATGGGATATGGCTAGGAATTTTCACTCCAGATTTACATGGCTCTCAATTGGAGTCATTTGCTTAGACTGAGGTTTTGGGAAACCTCACTTTTACATCCTTAAGGTGGTTCTGACCCTCTTCAAAGCAAACCATCTCCCTCTAATGAAGCTCTGCTTCAGTTCCTGGCCTTTAGCCTTTTCCTTTGCTTGAGCTCTGGCCTCTTTAGGAGGGTTAATTGAGGAAGTGGAGTGGGGCTTCCTGTCTGAAAGGTGACAGGTAATTCTTGTCAGCAATGAGGTTTCTATTCTGAAATAGTGAAAGAAAATCACCAGAAGGCAGTCTTTCTTGACATAGCCTTGTTTACTGGCTCCCTTCAGCCCTGGGGTGAGGAGTATGGGTTATCAGAAAAGAAGTATGGGCCTTTCCTGAGGAATGAGGGACAGCACCCTCTGAGGGACAGCGGCCAGTGTCAGCCCCATCGTGTTCATTGTTCAGTCCCAGGGCCTGATGGCAGCAAGTGCTTAGTATATACTTATAGCACGGACAGCGGAGGAGGAGAGGGGAGATGTCATCCAGCTGGCCAGCATTCGGACAGAATAAAGTGCCCCATGACAAGGTCTCTTAGCAAATGTTTTATTGCGCACCTGCGTAGACTAGGGTGAGAGGGAGCTGTGTAGGCTGGAGTGCTGGAGAAAGCGGTTTGAAGCCAGTGAGACTAGACCTGGGGCTTGAAAGCAAGCTGGGTTTGAATTGTCAGCATAAGACAGAAAAAGAGGGCCAGTCAGGTGGGAGAAGAATGGAAGATAGGGAGACACCTGAGAAAGGATGTGTAGGGTTTCCAGTGATGCGCTGTGCTGTGACCTTCAGAAGCATGCAAAAACGCGCTTCTGTGAGCTTCACTAGCAGTGGCTGTAAGAGCGTTTCCATATGAAACGCTATCTGCCTAGTGTTGTCAATTATCTTCCTGTTGTTATCAATACCCAATACCCAATACTGCAGGGCGAAATGAGACTAAAAAAAGCTACATGTGTTTATCAAATTTTATCCCCAAAAGATCAGAGAAATTACATAGTGCCAGTAGTTCTCACCTCTTCAAACAATTTACATCCCAAAACAACTGACTTTGCGTCCCATTTCCCCTTCCCCCATTTTCTGCCCTTTCAAAGAATAAACTTGGGGCCAGTTTCTGGTCACAACTTCGCCATCAGAAAAGCTGGGCCCACCTAACCCTCACTTTTCTATACTTGGGTGTCTTTGTGTATTAATCCACAGCCTTCCCCACCTCAAAACGTGTTCAGCCGAGCACGTCCCGGCAATGCAGACAGGTATGCAGGGTATGACGGGACAGAGGAACGGATGTTATAAAGTAGTACACAGCAGAGTGCCATCCTCACTGCTGTGGTACTCACAGTGGTGGGATGTATGGACCAGGAAGCTGGCTCTGAAACAATCAAGTAGCAGACTCTGCTGGAGGCCTTGTTGTAGCCAGGCCCCTGGCCTGACCTTCAGAGCTGTGCAGGCAGCAGTCTGGGGTGAAGTCTGAGGGTTTGCATTTCTTACTGGTGATGGCTGTTGCTGTTGAGTCCAGGACCACGTTGAGAACCACGGGCCTAGAATTCAAGATTACCAAACCTTTTCTGTTAAAAGGCAAAACAGTAAGCAGCTTAGACTTTGTGGACTACACTACTCTCTGTTTACCTAGCCTTCATTGCCTTTCATAATCTTTTTAAGCACATACAAACCTTTCTTGGCCATGCACAAACAGTTCCATAGAGGAGCAGGGATGGCAACAGGGAGATGGGATATGGTTTAGTGACCCCTGGCCCATCCCTAGGTTGTTTCTTTTCCGTCACATAGCTGGGGGACCTTTGCTAAATTAACCTCCCTGTACCTTTTATTTTCTCATCTTGTTTGTCTTTTAAAACAGAAATAATATTAATCCTTTTTACCACATGGGACTTTAAGAGGATTCAGGAAGGAAAGGCACACAGACAAATGCTTTTCACACTGTCTGAGACACAGCTATGTTTTATTTATCAATTATTTAGTAGTAGTAGTAGTCTCAACTACTGATGGCTCTGTTGACAGGTGAGAGAACAGTGAGAGGCGGATGATAGAGACCTGCTGGATTGCAGGCTCAGAAAGCTAATCACACTCAAATCTACCATTTCCTCTTAGGTTGTTTGCAAACAAGAATCCATTGAATTGAAACATACACACACTGTGAAATCCATCCAAGGTTAGTCCCTTTTAGGGGATCATTGCCCAGCCTCTCCCTTGAATGGCACTTGGAAAACAGTACAATCTGTAACCTGGCTGATTCTTGGGCCCAGGGCAGTTGTCGAAGGGGTAGATACCATGACACACCAGTCATCCATCTGTAACCTGTGTGCAGCCTCACTGGCTGGGAAGCCCTGATTGAGAATGTTGGCCTGGTCTATGCTGATATTAAATAGGGTCTGTCTACATTAATATTGAAACTATGCTTTTTAGCCTCTCATGTTGCCTCAGGGTGGGAGTGAAAGTGAGAACCGCAGAAAAGGAGGCTGCTGGGCGCTTCATGTTTCCTGTGCTACAGCACGCAAGTGAACAGGGACGTGTGGCTGTCACTCCCGCTAGCCAAAACAGAAGCCCACTGAGAACCTCTGGCATCTCCCCTCTGTGCTGGGACATGGCCCTGAGAGAGTCATCTCCTCTGTAAACACTGACAGTAAAAGCTGGCCATGCTTCAGTAATATGGGAGCATTCTCCCCGTTTGTCTAATTACCCCTTAGGGGACATCTGCTTTCTCCCTCACCTCTCCAGCTGCATGTTTTAATCCTTGCCAGAAGCACATAGTAATGACTTTGTAAACTCAGGTTACACACGCACAAAAGTGCCCGATGGTGATGCGACTCCACCCTCTACTCAGGTTTTTGCTGACATTCTGTGAAATATCCTTCCATCTCCTCCGCACCTTGCAAAAACAAGCTTCCTGTTTTGAACTTGGTCCAGACTGGAGCGGCCCCACTGCACCTGTTACCACGCTCTGGCACACTTCCCCCACTGTACTTGCACAGCTTCTTGTCACCTGGCCAGATTGCCCCTTTCAGCTTACAGATCCCTGGTCCCAACAGACGATACGGAACCCACAAACTAAGAAAAGAAGGAAATTGACGTTTCATTTAGAGCGATTCGAGTGAAAACATGGCTTCTGGTTTATTTTACTGTGTTTTGCCATGACCGCTTTGCTAACTGTCCTCATTCTTCACAGCAGAATGGATGTGAGGAAAGGAAATTGGCTGACGCAGGAGCCAGAGTGACAGCAGCGGACTCGCATGCCCAGCCTACACCATGAATCTGTGTCTACCTTCTGCGTGTTAACAACCAAGGGCAGGTGAAGGTGCTGGAGAGCAATGGCTTTCTTTACTCCGTGGAAGTTGTCCTCTCAGAAGCTGGGCTTTTTCCTGGTAACTTTTGGCTTCATATGGGGTATGATGCTCCTGCATTTTACCATCCAGCAGCGAACTCAGCCTGAAAGCAGCTCCATGCTGCGTGAGCAGATCCTGGACCTCAGCAAAAGGTACATCAAGGCACTGGCAGAAGAAAACAGGAATGTGGTGGACGGGCCATACGCTGGTGTCATGACAGCTTACGGTAAGCCCTGTGTTTCTGGGGCCTTCTATTGAGTGTGTCTGGGCCTTGAAAGGACCCCAGAGGCTCCCAGACTTGGTCTTGTCCTAGATTGAGTGTCTCCTCACCGTTGCCTTTATGAGCGATGAATTTCACACAGAGGGAAATTTCACACTTTGGGAAAGTTAAAGCAATCCCTTTTGGGGATTTCAAGCTCTTCTATGCACAGGTACCTTCCCCCAGGAGCAATGGGTGAGTAGTTCCTGACTCATTGGTTGTGTTTGCAGCTAGCCTCTCCTTCCACACTTTTCTGGACTGTGTGTGTCACATGGGAGTGTGTTCTGGGAATGCCAAAAAATATTCTCATAATCTTT